GGTCTCAGCCAGGGCTTCCCTGCCTTTGGGAAAACCTGCCTGATGTCCTCGACAGGCTGGGCCCACACTGGGGTCACTGCATGTTATTGTGGTGACTGTTCCACAGCTGCTTTCTCTCTAGCCAGCACACTTCAGGAAGGAAGGTCCTTTGTCTTGTTCGAGATTTGTCCTCAGCCTCTATCCCTAGCTCTGGAATGTAACAGGCACTTTCTAAATGCTCAGTGAGTGAGTGCAGGTGTCCTGTGCCCCTGATGTGACGGTTCTCCCCCCAGGCCTGCAGAATGATCACAAAGCGGTGATGAAGCAGGTAGAAGAGGCCCTACACCAGCTGCATGCTCACGACAAGGAGAAGCAGGCGCGGGACTTGGCTGAGGCTCAGGAGGAGGCCATGAGCCACAGGATGAGCCACAATGAGGGCCACGGCCTGTCGCAGGCCTTCGCCAAAGTGAACAGCATCAGCCCTGGCTCTCCAGCCAGCATTGCGGTAATCCAGCCCAGCCCCAAATCCATACCCAGGGAGGAGCACTGTGGGTCGGTGGTCATGGGCTCTGGCAGGACAGGCTGTGGGGACCTGACCCTATCTCTTTGTGCTGCAGCTCTGAATTCCTTCACACTTCAACAAGCACTGGTCAAGGTCTACTGTGTATAAGAGGTCAGGATTTTGGAGAGGGGTCAAACCCTGCTGCTCACCAAACTGGGTGGGGGGAGAGACCTGTTTCCAGTGACAGCTGGGACACAAGATGGAAGGTGACAAATGTCCCCAGAGACAGAGAGGGACTCTCTTCTTGGAGCTCATTTTATCTTGGTATTGAAGAGTAGGTGGGAATGCTGAGCTACTGTTTGCTCAAGGCATGAGTTGTATATCTTATAGGGTTTGTTTGCTGTTTTAATTTAATAGCATTATTGAGATAGTATTCACACGTTCATAAATTACCTATCTAAGCATACAATTCAGAGACTTCTAGTGTTTTCACAGAGCATTGTGCATCCATCACCACAGTCAGTTTAAAAAATTCTCAGGAGAATGAATCAGGCATGACTTTCCTGTGATCACACATGAATACATGATCAGAAATAAAAAACATTCTCATCATCCTAAAAAGAAGCCCTGTGGTCCCAGGTAGCTGCCTCTGATTTGGCAACCTCCAATCCGCCTTTTGTTTTGTGGATTTGCTTGTCCTGGGCCTTTAATAGAAAGGGAGTGGTCGATGTAGTGTGTCTTTTGGTCAGCATCAGGCTTTCCAGGTTCCTCTGCATTGCAGCAGGTGTCCATGCTCCCTCCCTTTTTGGGGCTGAATAATATTCCCCTGCATGGCTGTGCCAGATTGTGTTTATCCAATTGTCAGCTAATAGGCATTTGGATTGTTTCCACTTTAGAGCTGTTAAGAATGCTGCTGTGGACATTCGAGTCCAGCTTAGCATGTAGACTTGTAGTTAAGTTTAACACCACAGCCACCCTCTGGGATAGATGCTAATCTTTACTCTGTTTGACCCATGAGGAAAAGCTTTGAAGACCTGAGGTAACCTGTGCTGGCATTGATAGCTCCCAAGAGGAAGAACTGGGTCCTGAATCCAAGACCTGCCAATCATCTTGTGATCACCATTATCACAGGACTCTAAGTTGTGCATAAGCTCTGTTTTATTCACAGCTGTATCCATAGCCTCGAGTACAGTGCTATACTTGGTTCACAACCAGTATTTGTTAAGGGTGAATGAGTGGTGATCTTCCTTCTTGGGACTGAGAACAAAGGATCACTCTCCTCCTGGTCAGCCTCAGGCCTGTGACAGCTTGTTTGGTCTTTGAGTGCAAATATCTACCTCATCTAAATCTTGACCTAAGACTGGCTTGCCTCTTCCTGCCTTTGAACCTGGGGTTGGGCCCCAGAGAGAAGCATTTTTCTGGAGAGACCTAGAAGGAACCCTGGGGAGGAAGTGGCCCAGTTGCCTACTGTCCCTTCCTGCATGAGGTATTTAAATCCCTGACATTTGCTTTCAGCCTGCTGTTCTCCCTTATAGGAAATCTCCTCTTGACCTTGGCTGGAAGTGGGTTTTGAAGAGTGGAGAACTCCAGGAGCACATGTCCCTTAGCCTTGGTCTTCATTTCCTCTTCTCTCTTTAGGGTCTGCAGGTGGATGATGAGATTGTGGAGTTTGGCTCTGTGAACACTCAGAACTTCCAGTCGCTGCACAACATTGGCAGTGTGGTGCAGCACAGCGAGGAGGTGAGTTGGGGAGTCGGGGGCTCCCTGGCAGGTTGGAAGCTACATATACTGGGGCTACAAACAGCAGAAGCATACAGCTCACTGTTCTGGAGGCTGGGGAGCTCAGGAGCAAGGCCCTGCAGACTCAGGGTCTGGTGCAGGCTGCTTCCCAGTCCACCGATGCCACGTTGCCACTGCGTCCTCATGAGTCTCAGCATGAGGGCTCCACTCTCATGGCCTGATGACAACCAGAGGTCCCACCTTTTGGTACCTTCATACTGGGGATCAGGATTTCCGAGTATGAATTGGAGGAGGGGACCCAGATATTCTGACGGGAAGCATCTGTGGGTAGCCTGGAAGCAGTGATGGGGCCCTGGCTGCCTCACAGCTGTTGCTCAGCGAAGTCCCTGTTTAGAGCCTGTGCACTTGCTGTTCTCTCTACCCCAAGGCTTTTCCTTGCTCACTGCCCTCCTCTTTACACTACTGACACCTTCTCAGCAAGGCCTTTCCTAGCCACCCTACCTCAAATCCCCCTCCTGTTTCCTGTTCCTGTTTTCATGTAACAGTGTTTCTGGAGGTCTGTTCACTTGGGCTCATGCCTTGCTCTTTTTCACTGTTGTGTAGTACTCTGTTGTTGATACTGGGGATGGTTAGGTATCGTCAGCTCTGTGCCAGTGTGAAGAGTGGGGCACACTGTATGTGACTGTACTCGTGTGCTTCTCTCCATGGATACTAACGAGTAGGTTCATAAGCTTGAAGAGTGTGCATGTTTAAGGTAATTTGATAAGGTTTTACTAATTTACACCCTGATCAATATGTGTATTGATCTTTTAAAATTTTTGCAAAGTTGACATTTTGTTTTAATTTGTATTATCTTGACTACTGGAAAAAGTTGAATATCTGTTTTTATATGTTCAAAAAAATTTTCATGGTGCTGAATGTTAATGTTAACAGCGCGTTCTGTTTTATCCATTTAGATAGTTTTCAAGTTTATGGAAGTAAGGAGATAAATCTTGTAGATAAATCTCTGTTTCTTCAGATAACTTACTTAAGGTGCAGTTTCTGGATCAAGTGTATATATTTTCTGTCTTTTTTTTTTTTTTAGAGAAAGAGAGAGAGAATTTTAATATTTTTTTTTAGTTTTCGGCAGACACAAAATCTTTGTTTGCATGTGGTGCTGAGGATCGAACCTGGGCCGCACACATGCCGGGCGAGCATGCTACTGCTTGAGCCACATCCCCAGCCCCTAGTGCATATATTTTCAAAAAAGTAAATCTTCAGTTAAAAACATTATTGTCTGGTTAGGGTGTGACTCAGTGATAGAGCATATGCCTAGCTCTGGATTCAGTTCCCTGCATTACAAAAATAAATAAATAGTCTTTATTATAAAAACAATGCATTTTTTATTCAGTCTTAAAATGGAATGAGCCAGGGCCTGAGGTTGTGGCTCAGTGGTAGCTACTTGCCTAGCATATGAGGCACTGGGTTTGATCCTCAGTACCACATAAAAAAATAAACCAATAAAATAAAGGTATTGTGTCCAAAAAAAAAAAAAAAAAGGAATGAGCCAAAGCAGTCCTTAGCCAGAAGGAGGCATCACAATACCTGGCATTAAATTATACTACAGAATTATAGTAATTAAATAACTAAAACAGCATGGCATTGCACCAAAACAGGAAGACAACCAACAGAATAGAAGACATAGAGACAAACTCACATAAATACAGTTGTCTCATACCAGACAAAGGCAACAAAAACATACATTGGAGAAAATGGCGCTATGAAAACTGGAAACCTGTATGTAGTAGAATGAAATTTAACTCCTGTCTCTCACCCTACACAAAACTCAAAGTGGATCAAAGACCTACGTATCAGACCAGAAACCCTGCACCTACTAGAAGAAAATGCAGGGCCAGCACTCTAATATGTCACCATAGGAACTGACCTCATCAGTAAGACTCCTAAAGTACAAGAAATAAAATCAACAAATGGGATGGTATGAAACTGAAAAGCTTCTTCCCAGCAAAGAAAATAATTAGGAGTGTGAAGAGAGAGCCTACTGAATAGGAGAAAATCTTTGCCACCTGTACCTCAGATAAGGCATTAATTTCCAGGATACAAAGAACTCAAAAAGCTTAACACCAACAAACTACAAATAACCCAAATAATCAGTAAATGGGCAAAGGAACTAAACAGATGCTTTTTAAAAGAAGAAAAATGGTTAACAATACATGAAAAAATGTTCACCATCTCTAGCAATTAGAGAAATGCAGATTAAAACTACACTGAGATTTCATCTTACTCCATTCAGAATGGCAATTATCAAGAATATAAGTAACTATAAATGTTGGTGAGGATGTGGGGGGAAAAGGTACACTCATACATTGCTGGTGGGACTGCAAATTGGTGCAACCAACTCTGTAAAGCAATATGAAGATTCCTAAAAAACTAGGAATGGAACCACTATTTGACTCAGTTATGCCACTTTTCGGTATATATCTAAAGGATTTAAGATCAGCATACTACAATGACACAGCCACATTAATGTTTACAGCAGCACAATTCACAATAGCTAAACTATGGAACCAAACTAGGTGCCCTTCAATAGATGAATGGATAAAGAAAATGTGGTATATATGTATAATGGAATATTACTCAGCCATAAAGAAGAGTGAGTTTGTGACATTTGCTGGTAAATAAGTGGAACTGGAGACTACCATGCTAAGTGAAATAAGCCAATCCCCCCAAACCAAAGGGTGAATGTTCTCTTTGATTTCTTGATGTTATCACACAACAAGGGGGGTGAGAGGAAGAATAGAAATTCAATAGATTAGACAAAGGGGAATGAAGGAGGAAGAGAGTGGGGATGGGAATAGGAAAGACAGTGGAATGAATCAGACATAACTTTCCCTGTGTACATATATGAATACTGCAGTCAATCTCAACATCGTGTACATCCACCTGACTGGGATCCTAATTAGAATAAGATATCCCATGTTTGTAAGAATGTCAAAATGGACTCTACTGTCATGTATAACTAAAAAGAACAAATAAAATTTTTTAAAAAAGGAATAAAGCACATCGGTGAACCATGAAAACCTGGTGCTAAATGAAGAACCTGATGCAAAAGCCCACATATTATATGACCCACTCGTATGAAATTGTCTAAAAGGCAAATCCAGAGGTTCAAGGTCCTGAGGTGGGAGGAGCAGAGCACCCAAAGGAAGGTGATTGAATCCCAGAACCAAGGAAAGTGGAGGGGGGAGGAGGCCTTGAACTTGTGGGATTATAGACATGCCAGTGCACCTGACTGGATGTAACTCTGGACAGTTTTGTTCTTTTTTTTCTTCTTCTTTTTTTTTGGTGTGTGGTCATGGGGATTAAACCTGGAACTTGGTGAATGCTAGGAAAGTATTCTATCACAGAGCTGCATCCCCAGCCCTTTTTAAAATTATTATTATTATCATTATTATTATTATTATTATTATTATTAGTAGTAGTAGTAGTAGTAGAACTAGGGATTGAACCAGGGAGGCTTAACCACTGAGCCACATCTCCAACCCTTTTTTTATATTTTATTTAGAGATAGAGTCCTGCCAAGTTACTGAGGCTGGCCTCAAACATGCAATCCACCCATCTCATCCTCCTGAATTTCTGTGATTATAGATGTGCACCACTGTGCCTAGCTGAACAATATCTTATAGATGGATATTTTGAGTATTCTCAGTTTTTGTGTATATATATATAAAGCATAAGAAGATACACAAATAAAGTGTTCATATTATTTGGAATATATATATATATATATATTCCAAATAATGAACACATATATTCCAAATAATGAGCACTTTATTTGTGTATCTTCTTATGCTTTTGTAAAATGTATCTTACATGTACCCTGTAAATATTTTTGAGGGGAACACATTTCTCTAGCAAGATGGCACCAGTTTGTATTCCCACTGGCCCCAAGGGCCCAAACTGTTGCCAACTGCAGGGTTTTGCTTTAAAATACAAATTTTAGGGGCTGGAGCTGGGGCTCAGTGGTAGAGCACTCGCCTAGCATGTGCAAGGAGCTGGTTTCAAGCCTCAGCACCACATACAAATAAATAAATAAAATAAAAGTATTGTGTCCAACTACAGCTAAAAAAAAAAAATTAAATAAATCTTGGTCAACTCAGTGGGCACAAAATGACATGTCAATGTTTGAACCTGAATCCTTTTGAATATTAAGTTGAACCTGAAACAATCTTATTTTTCTCGCAGAAACCCCTGAATGTGACAGTAATCCGTAGAGGGGAGAGACACCAGCTCAGGCTTGTTCCAACGCGCTGGGCCGGGAAAGGCCTGCTGGGGTAAGGTATCTGCCTCACTCATGCACACTGCAGCATCAGTGGAGTGTTAGCCATAAAGTGGGGAATTCCAGGGGGCTTGCTGAATTGTGGGAATCCCCAGAATATGTAGAAACTGAGACAAAGGCTTATGGTAGCAAGGAGGCTCTAGGTGTAGAGGCAGAGAGAGCCTCAGGGTCTCCTGAGGGTCTCTGGGCCTTTGATCAGCTGGGCATTTGCTTTGAGAGAATGAAAGGGTGTGGTGAGGAGCTCCCAAGGGCTTACCTGCTTGCCCTCCCCAGTGGGCCACCAGACTGATGCCATTCCTCTTCTTCCTTGTAGCTGCAACATCATTCCTCTGCAAAGATGACTGTCCCTGGGAAACAGTAACAGGAAAGCTTCTTCCCTTGCCCTGCCCGAGGGCCTGGTGGGGATTTCCTCATTCTCTTCACTCCCAAAGAGTAAGGATCTGGAAGAGGCTGGAAGCTGGACGTCTAGGTGGTGGAGATGCTGTGGCCTCCCAATGTATCTCTCTGGATTAAGGCCTTAAAAACAAGATTTGTGCTTGGCATCTTTGGCACATTGGGCCATGTCCCAAAATGGGAATTCTCTGGATTGTGGGCAAGTGGGTGGGAGTTATTCTGGCAGGCGCCCATGTGACTTTATTCCTTTAGGAATTTTGTTTTTCAAATAAACACTGTTTTGCAGTTCTGATAAGACTGTGTTGTCACCCAAGCTTAATTTATTAGGAACCTCTCAAAACCTAAGCTCAGATGGGGTTGAAATATTCTTAAAGTTGGGCAAAACAAAACAAAAAAAACAGCAATTGGGCTGAAGTCAAGATTTGACCAGCAACTTTCTTTGCATTGAACCATTGCTACTCTGGACACAGTAGTTTGGTATCCTTAGCCTCTGAGCCTCTACAGCCACCATAGCTCCCTTTGGAGAATGAGGAAAGCCAGGAGGTTCCCTGGGTGGCCCAGTGTGTGCCAGCTTCCTCTTCAGTAACTCACCAGAGGGCAGCAAGCTCCCTTCACTTCTAGAATAAAAACTCGTGCAAATTTACTTCTAAATTGACTTTTTACCCTCGAACTTTCCAGCCATGTCCTAAGAACAACAGTTTTGTGAATTAAGGTATGCTCAAAATTGTGTTTACAGATCTGACTGTTGAAGATGCTGCTGCTTTCTGCCTTTCATTCTCTCTTTTAAGATGTCAGATGGGTTTCAGTGATTCCTGGGACTCTGCATCTTAATTTCTTGTTCCAGTGTTTATTTCCCCAGCTCTTGCAGACCACTTTGTGTTTTGGGGGAGGTGTGCCACATTCTGCCAGGAAGCCTGCATTACTTAGGATTGGATTTTCTAGAGTTAGATGCAGATACTAGCTTCCCCTGATGGCAGTCGATATTGGTGTGTGCTTCCACGGTGGGTTTTCATGCTCAATTTGAAAGGCATCGTAGGAGCATCTTCTCACAACTGTCCTGCCGTACAGCCTCACGTCTTCCCTCTTATAGCCACAGACATGCTGTGTACCAGTGGATGCTGTATAAATTCCATGTTCTGATTACAAGTATTTTCCATCTCTTTTTGTAAATCCCAGACTATAATAAACAGCTTGCACCATTCAGTTTATCCCTTGGTATCTCCTTTGTTCCTTTGAGCTGTGTGCATATGAATCAGCTTAGCAGCAGTGGAGACATGGTGGGAGGTGGGAGTGGGGAAGAATCATTCACCTTCTAAAATGATAGCAGCAGAGAGTCTTCTGTGGCAGTACCTTGGCTGGTTTCCTGCAGGCCTCCCCTTGGAAAGCCCAGAATAGCCACCTGTTGCACTCTCCTGTGCGATTCTGGCTGGGAGTCAGTTTGACCCTAAATGATTTAACCACGTTGGTTTTGCAGAATTTTTGTGATAAGAACAAGATCCTTCAACCTGGATAATATTCAATCCCTGCTAGCCAAAATTCTCTGTGCCTTCAATGTCTCAGCCAGAGACAGGTGATAGATCTGTGTTGTATTCGTGAGACTAGGAAGTTCAGTTTGCTTTTGGCAAGAGGAATTTTATCAAATAGTTCATTCCACTTCACATAATCATGGCCAGCCTTGGAAAAGTTAGAATTGCCCTTGTTGGTCGTTGCAGTTTCTCGGGGGATGACACCATGGGGAAAGCCAGGGAGAGTTCCTGGAGTGTCAAAGAGCAAGGGGAGTAAGAGCTGCTACCCCAGTGGCCGGCAGGGGGCGCGCGGGCCCGGCTCGCAGCCTCTTTCTGGGCACGTGACCATGGCCCTGACCTCTCGCTTTACGGTCAGATGCCCCGGCAGGCGGCAGCCGTTGCCATGGGGATGGAGCTTGGGTGGCAACTGTAACTAGGGAGCTGGTGAAGAAGGTGCCTGGTGAAAGTCCAAAACCAGCTGAGGGCTGCAGGAGGCAGGACCCCGGCTTTTTGAGGAGCAAGGTGGGCGCGCTCTATGAGTCTAGGGCAGAGTCCAGGGGCCGGTGGGGGGTCGCGGCCTCGGGTGGCTGGGGGTGCAGGAGGAGGCTACGGCGCTGGGCTCTACCCAACAGACCCACACACCTGTCCCCTCCCCAAGCCTCATGTCCTGCGGGCCAAGGTGCCTGGCAGTTTGGGTCCATCCGGGGGCTCCTGGTGGGAGCAGCGCTTTCTCAGATGGGGAGTCAGCTGCTGCTAGCTTTCGCAGTGGCTTCGCCTCCAACTCATGTTTGTTGTAAGGAAAAAATGAAAATAGTATGTCAGAGGGCTTTTAAAGCGTTCATTTCTTTGCAAAATTAGGGTTGCTTTTATCCTCATAATGACCATTACCTTTTTTCCCCTGCGCTGTGTGCC